ATATAAAATCCTGGGGGATTTCAATTGTATCAAGATGTAATCCATCTGTACTTGACAATTTACCATCTCCTAATTGCATTAGCCAATTTGCAAATTCCTTTTCATCCGCAGTTCTCATATTTTGCTGTAATTTAACCTGAGTTACATTTCTCCATATAGGATTGTATTTGACAGTTGACTCAATTATGGCTGCTTTATGTGCATGAGGTACTACTGAAAGATTTTGTCTGAAATCTCCTGCAAATAAAATAACTTTTCCTCCAAATGGTCTAGGATTCTTCATTAGATCCTTGAAGAGTTTATCAACTGCTGTTAAGGCATGCCCAACCGTCATGCTCACCTCATCCCATATAATGAGTTTAGCAGAGATCAGTTCTCGTGCAGCTTGAGAGTTTCCTCTTATATTAGATTTAGCTCCATCATCAATTGGTATTGAAAGTTTGAACAGGGAATGATAAGTTTTTCCTCCTTTTAGAAGTGTGGCTGCAATGCCAGTTGAAGCACATGGAATAACCATTTCGTTTTTTCCTCGAATAACACTCAGAAATGTGTTAAATAGATAGGTTTTTCCACTTCCTGCAAACCCGTCAATATAAAATAACCGCTGAGGTTCATTCTCATTGTCAATCGCTCGCATAACTATATCGTACACGTATCTTTGTTCAACATTTAATGTTGATAATAAATAGTCACCACGTCTTCTTTCTTCATCTACATTATATTCTGTGACGTAAATATTCACTGGAATTGGATTTGGCAATTGGAAGTTCTCACAGCTACTTCCATTATTTTTCAGAATTTCTTGTATATGGTTTAAAGCCATATTTTCAGGATTGACAACATTGTTGTGTACAAAGTCCTCAATCATGTGATCTTTATATTTATTTCAAAGAGGTAGTACATCTGTTGGAGTTCCATAGATGCAAATGTAGGCAAATAGCTCTCGAAGTTGTACGGGCATTTTGGAATCTGTTGCTTCTTCCAGCGTTTTTTCCCAAAGATCATCAGCTTCTACCAAATTTTTTGCAATTGCTGCATCTTTAAACGTTTTATAAAGAACTCCATTTACAGTTCTCAAATCTTCAAAACATTTAGCTCCAACTACATGAAGTAGAAGAAGACGGAGATAAAATCTCTCAATATCTTTTATACTTACTGTATAAAGTCTTGAAATTATTTTATCACCACCCTTTTTGCGTAGCTTCCACTTAGTTTCTTTTTTATCATAGATATAATGATAAGGAATATCTGTGTAAAGAAAATGCACCGCATTTTCATCAGATTGATTTAATTTAAACCATGCAGTCAACGTGGTATCTCGAGTTAGCTCTCTTTGAGCAGCTTGTTCTTTATTTCCCGCTCGGAAATAAACCATTTGGCGATTAGGCAAATGAACTGCCAGTCTTATTACTGTGTGAGACTTCATGAACAGATCATATCCGTTCAGTCTCCACATTGCTTCTGGAGCACTAACATATCTTGCATCCAGGTATGAATTAACTTCATCTATTTTAATTAACCTTGTGCCATCTTGTGCTTGTACTTCAATTGCAGCACAATCAAATCCTTTATGAATATATTTATATAAGTATTTTACGCTCTTCACTGATGAACATATTTCCAAATTGATATGTCGATCATATTTCATAATTAAATATGGTGAATATGGTACTACCCATCGATTATCAATTTCTTTTCCTCTGACGATGTATTTTTTCTTAAAATTCCTTCGTTGATACATAGGATATCCATTTACATTAGCATTAGTTTCTTCACGAAACTCTTTTGGAAAACCTTTTGAACATTTTCCATCATCCCCAGTGCAAGGATATCTCTGAGAGTGATCTCCACAAGGACTATGAATCATGTGCCTCAAAACTTTTACATTAAGTTCTGGATATCTTTCTTTGTCAGGAATTTCAGCCCATACCATCATGTCAATGATTTCTTGAAGTCTGGGCTTATCTTCATCACTCAACATTGCAAGTAAATGCAAATGTGGAAGTCCTCTTTTTTGAAATTCAATCACACCTGCATAAGCTACAATATTTCCAAAAATATTATTTTGGGTTAAATCTTTTAAAACTTCTTTGACATCCAAATTAAATGTTTTAGCGACCAAATCAGGTCGAAATTCAATTAAACATCCATCAAGATTATCTTTAATTTCGGGGCATTGAGGATTGCAAGTCATCGTAAGAAAAATATCAGGTTTACCAAACTTTCTAACCAGAGACATGGCATCTTGATATCTTTCTTGCATATTTCTTGGACTGCCCATAAATGAAGATGGTAATATTACAGGTATACCAGCTTTAATTCCTTCATTTTGTGCTTGATTATCTAGGTGATCCATTAATCCCGAATAAAGTTCTGCTCTTAATTGAGGTTGATTTAATTTAATATAATTAAGCCTATTTGCTTCAGTTTTCATATAAGCATCAAGTATAAACTGACATCTTAATTTTCCTGCCTTTTTAAATTGACTAAATTCAACTCTTGGTGCCAACAGGTGAGCATAATAATCCATTTGAGTTACTTTAAATCCTGGATATTTAGGATTATATGATTTAAGTTGTGAATGCCATCCATCGTTACCATATGGATATAACAACGGATAACACATTGGATCACATCTTTTGTCTAGAATTGATATTTGTTGAACATCGTTCGAATTTTTGTTATAAATTCGAATATCTCTCTCAAATGGAGGCTCACCATCAACATTTTGAAAAACCACAGCTATTTCATTAGCTCGTGGAGCATTGTATCTTCTTTGATCGTGTTGAGGATCATTTCGAAAGGACAACATTAAATTTATGGCTTTATTGCCTCTCGGATTAAGATCTTGTTCAACTTGACGCATCATCTTAAAAGTTTTTGCAAATTCATTGCTTTGGATCATAAAGCAGGACAAATCTTTCATTAAGACTGGATCACACTTTTGATTAGCTTTATTATTCATTCTATGATTAATAGCTTCTTCTGTATCTAAAAAATAAAGCTGCGCAAAACGCGGAGCTTGCCCATCCGCTGGGCGCATTGCCGTTGTGGTCAAATGATGATATTGCCCATGAATCTTCAAGCAATAAGGAGCATTGTTCACAACATCCAATGGATTTCTATTGCCCGGGGCACCCATGGAAGCCATAGCTAAAGCGCTATTATATGAACGAATATTATCAAGAAAATTTTTTGATACAGAATCATTTCCCATATATAATTTTTTAAGAAAATTAGGACAATTTATTGGTTTTAATTTAAGCTTTCCCTTTTGGCAACAATATGTAAATTTTCCATCTTTAGATTTTTCACATGCAAAGTTTAACGATTTGCAAAATTGACATTCTACATTCATTTGGCCAAGTGTATGAACTGGCACATTTATTTCATGTTCTTTTGAAATTAGCGCAATGTGATGATTTAATTGTCTAGCTTGGTGCCTTCCCTGAGCATGTCTCTGGGCATCAACTTTGAGTCGTTTATTCATTGCGTCATCATTTTCATTGACTTTCTGCTGAGCATGTCTCTGAGCATCAGCTTCGAGTCGTTGAGTCCTTGCGTCATTATTTTCATTGACCCTTTGCTGAGCATGTCTCTGAGCATCAGCTTTGAGTCGTTGAGTCTTTGCGTCATTATTTTCATTGACCCTCTGCTGAGCATGTCTCTGAGCATCAGCTTCGAGTCGTTGAGTCCTTGCGTCATTATTTTCATTGACCCTTTGCTGAGTATGTCTCTGAGCATCAGCTTCGAGTCGTTTAGTCTTTGCGTCATTATTTTCATTCGCCTTATGCTGAGAATTTCTTTGAGCATTAGCTTCGAGTCGTTGAGACCTTTCCTCCGAACTTTCATTTTTGCGCATTTGTCCTAAGCGTTTATTTTCGCGACTCACTTTATTCAAATTTCCGTATTTTCTTTTTTGAGGCATAATTATTTACGTCGTACCGTAGGTATTTATACGAAATGTTATATAACAATACGTAAATAAATAACAATATACGTAAATAAATACAATTATTTTTCAAATCTATATTAGTTTTCAAATATATTCTGAGCGCAAACTACTTATTTGCATTAATATATCGATTTTCTTAATAGATCTTTTCTTTCTCTTGCTTTTTCTGTTTTATTGATTCTTTATATAGGCGCACAGCAGCTCTGTATCGGCGGATAGTAGTCGTTTTTTTACAGGCGCACAGCAACTTTTTTTATACAGGCGCACAGCAGCTCTGTATCTGCGAATAACAGCCGGTTTTTACAGGCGCACAGCAGCTCTGTCTCGGCGCACAGTAGCCGTTT